TCCTCACCCGGGCGCAGGCGCTCCACGACCCTCGTGAGGCGGAAAGCCTAATTTCTTTCTATTTATAGTAGAGATGGCATCTCGGTCTTGCTCAGACTGGTTTGGAACTCCTGACCTTGAGTAATCCGCCCGCCTCAGCCTCCCAGAGTGCTAGGATTACAGGTGTGAGCCACCGCGCCGGGCCAGGGGTACTTGTTAACAGTTTGGTCTATGCCTTTTTGGAACTTTTTCTATTCACAAATATATATTTTTTTTATTATTATTAAAGACAAGGTCTCTCTTTGTTGCCCCGGCTAGAGTAGAGTCGTGTCCTTGTAGCTCACAGCAACCTCAAACTCCTGGGCTCAAATGATCGTCTTGCCTCAGCCTCCTGAGTAGCTGGGACTACAGGTGCATGTGCAGCACCACACCCGCCTAATTTTTCTATTTTTAGTAGAGATGGGGTCTCGCTCTTCCTTAGGCTGGTCTTTCAGTCTTGAGCTCAAGTGATCCTACTGCTTTGGCCTCCTATATAGTACAAGAATTACAGGGCAATGCTGTTTTTAATGGTTGCATAGCATTCTGTCACAGAGATAGTGCCTTCATGTGTTGCCCATTTGCTTAGTGTCATTTAGGCTGTTTCTAATTTTTTGCTCTTATAAATAAAATTGTACTGTATTTCTAGTTATTTCCTTAGGATAGATTCATACAACAGAATTACAAGATTAGGAGAGGTGAGGCAGTTAGAAGCAGGGACTTAGAACTGTACTGCCTGCTGCAATTGGTTCTCACCTCCACCACTTGGTTTTGTAATCAAGTCACTAACTTCCTTGTTCCTTGGTTTTCTCATCTGAAAAGTGAGGATAATAAGAGTATCCACCTCAGAGCATTGTACTGTTTACAGATCATTAAATGTTTAAAACACATAAAATACTGGAATAGTGCCTGGCACATAAGTACAGGTCCGTATCTTATGATGGTTTGACTTAAGATTTTTTGACTTTATGATGATGAGAAAGCCATACGCATTCATTAGATACCATACTTCAAGTACCTATATGACAATTTTGTTTTTCACTTTTGGTATAGTATTCAGTAAGTTACATGAGATATTCAGTACTTCTTATAAAATAGCCTCTGTGTTCAATGATTTTCTGAACATGTTTAAAGTAGGCTAAGATATGATGTTCAGTAGATTAGGTGTATTCAATGCATTTTTTACTTGAATGATGTTTTTAACTTATAGGTTTATTGGGATATTATTCTATCATAAGTCAAGGAGCATCTGTACTCAATTATTATTAGTTCCTGCTGTTGTTTTTATTGTAATGGGCATTTTTAAGTCAAGTGACTTTGTAGAAAGGTCATGCCATTCTGTATTTCCAGTATAAGAATATGGGAGATCCCACTGTACCAACCCTTCTTACCACTGAATTGAATATTATCATTTTTGAAACTTTGCTAATTTTACATGTGAATTATGGGTCTTTTTTTTTTTTTTAGACAGAGTCTCACTCTGCTGCCCAGGCTAGAGTGCCGTGGTGTCAGCCTAGCTCACAGCAACCTCAAAGTCTTGGGCTCAAGCAATCCTTCTGCCTCAGCCTCCCCCTGTAGCTGGGACTACAGGCATGCGCCACCATGCCCGGCTAATTTTTTTATATATATACATAAAATTTTTTTATATATTTAAAAAAATTTTATTTTATTTTTTTAAATTTTATATACATATATTTAGTTGTTCAAATGACTACTTTCTATTTTTAGTAGAGACGGGGTCTCGCTCTTGCTCAGGCTGACCCTGACCTTGAGCAATCTTCCCGCCTCAGCCTCCCAGAGTGCTAGGATTACAGGCGTGGGCCACTGCGCCTGGCCAAGGGTCTCTTTTTTTGATGCACACTTTTAGTTTCTCTCTTGGATCTTAAAATTAAACTGCTATCTTTAGGAAATGGCTTATTGCCTTTTAGATCGCTTTTCTGGGGTTGTAATTTAGAACTTGAAGCCCACCTTCTTATAAGCATTTTCTTATTTTCCCCCCAAATTCATCACTTAGCTTGTGTCGATTCTCCTAAATTTATTCCTGTTGGCTTGTTCGGGTACCCATGTTTATTCGAGCCCTTACCATCTGCCGGGCCCTGTGCTGGGTGCACAACCTCACAGAGGAGTCAGTCACTGTCTCCGTGTGAGAGAGACTCACAGTCTGGTAGGGGTGGCAGTTAGCACAGGGACAGGTGTCATCAGAGTAGGAACATGTATGCCATAGTACCACCCCTAGGATAGGGGTGTTTGTTTGGGAGAAGCCCTGAAAATCTGTGAATGGGGCTGACTGTTAAACACAGCTAAGACTGTGTTCTGCCTGAGAAAATTAGCTCTGTGGCATCCCAAACTTGAAAATAAAGGAGGGATTTTTTTTTTTTTTTAGCTTTATAAAGATTGATGATAGCATTTTTTAAAGTTTTTAGCTAGGTTTATGATAGCATTTTTTTTTTTTTAAAAAATGTGTTCTTCCTATACATTTAACACATGTGGTTTGATTTAACAAAAAGAAGTAGTTTTATGAAACTTTTGTGAGGCATTGACTGTGGGCAAGTTTCCTAACCTCTTAGGTCTGTTTTCCTTTCTGTCACATTGAAGGTCTGATGTGGTTTTCCTACTAGGCTCTCCAGCTCTGACTTCGTGCAGATCTGAGAGGAGCTCTGTGGTGTAAGTGGATGTCAGCAAGCATTATGGAAGTTCAGGTGGGAGTTCAGGCTCCAGTGTGGGAGTAAGCCAGAGCACTGCCAGCTCAGATTCTGCAGAGAAAAGAGACTGGGACTTTCCTTTGTGGCTCTCAGATTTGAATTGGCTGGACCATTTCATGCCTTGGTATCAGGGTGTCCTCATCACGAGCGTTGCATTTTAGTTTTTTCCCTCCTTTTGTAGGAACACCCTATTTCTGGGCAGCCTTGATCATTGCATGGAGTGATTCTGTGCCCAGTGGAAAGGTAGGACTGCTGGCCTCTGTTGCTCCCACACCTGCCCTCTTTCCACTGCTTAATCAGAAAGTGTCCCTTAACTCTTTCCAGTCCACCGAGTTTGAATTGATCTCCCTTGCTAGTAAGGGGTAGGCAGGCTCTTTCTGTTTCCTGCTAAAGTTACCTGAAAGCGGAAGGTGTGCATCTGATAATTATAACTCCAGTGCTTCTAAGGCCTGAGTGATTTAGTTAAAAGCAGTAATCCTGATCTTATCAGCCGGGTTTTGTAGTCCAACTATGTTGCTTATAACAGTATCTGTTTTACTTCCTGGGGCTCTCCTTTGCTTTTAGGATTCTCCTGTAATCCTGCCCATTACCCCCTTGTGCATGTTTCATTATCTTCTGGAGTCAGTTAGAACTGGTGGGAGGGCAAAGACTGCTTTTTTCTTCATACCCAGATCTGGGAATTGGCCTTTTAACATTACAACATTATTAACCAGGCCAGCAGTATAGAGCACTGACAAATGTGGTACAAAGGTGGTACTTATAATACTTACAAGAGCCATGGACCTGGCCAAAGATAAGGTAGTTTATATGTTGCTTATTAAAAAAAGAAAAGAAAAAAAAAACAACCAACAGCAGCCATATTCAGCCTAAATACTTAAGTTAAATTTTGTATTTTGAAACAGTTAATTAGTATCTGTGAGCTTGGCATCAGCCCCTTAGAAGTCTAGTGATTTTGCTAATGACTACTTTCAGATTCAGGTCCTAAAAATTTGCCTAGCTCCTTGACCTTGGGGTTCATAATCTATTAGATTAGAGAGTAGACAGGATGGAAACACATTACTTTTCGGTGTCTTCAGAGAACTCTCAAGAATCTTTATAAAAGGTGGCAGAATGCATAATGGTGATTTAAGTACAGGACAGTTTCTTAGAGGTTCCAGAATATTGGAAACCCCAGCAAAAACTTCGTAGTTTAGCCCCTGTACTTTAAACCCTAAGAAAAGGGTTAACTCTTGCCTTGGGGAAGAATGAAGAATAGGAACTAAAATTGCTTTGGACATCTGAGCTGTGCTTTAATAAGATATTCCAGGTGGTCAAGGAGTAATCCTAAAATAGCCTAGATTCTTAATTGCTTTTAAAGTCAGGCGCTCCTGTCTCTGGGGAGGTACTGCTCTAAGGAATGCAGTGCTGGCTCCTGAGATCTTAGAGGCGTGGTCTGGTGGAGTTGGTTTGTTTGTTTTTTGGGGGCTTTTTTTTTCTTTTTCAAATTCTAGTAAAAAGAAAGGCCCAAGGTAGCCTTCTTGTGTTTGTTAAATCTCCCCTTTTTCCTCACAGGAAGGTTAGCAATAAGCTTTCTGCTTCTGCCTCTGCCAGCTGCCCTCACTTGGCTTTCTCTAGGGCTGTGGGATTGGTTTTGTCACCCCACCCCCAGACAGTGGTCTGTTTTCATTAGTGCTTAAAGGCTTCCTGCTTGATTGGCTGCCTAGCTTCTGTTTGCATCAGAACATACCTTTCTCACTATAAGAATTCAAATTAATCCTTCTCTTTCTCTTTCATTCCCTCAGTCCAGATCCACTTCTCTGACTTGGCTGCATCTTAAAACAGTCTTTCTCCCTAGCTCCATTGCTCCCTTCCCTCCCAGCGGAGTCTCATGGAGCCGCCCAACACAGTGCTGGCTTTCCCTCTTAGATCTTCAATACTGTTTGCCAGAGTAATATATTGGCATTATAAATCATTACTGAGGGGTATTAGGAATATATTTGATTAAATGGGGCCGGGTGTGGTGGCTCACCTGGTAATCGTAGCACTCTGGGAGGCTGAGGCAGGCAGATTGTTTGAGCTCAGGAGTTCCAGACCAGCCTGAGCAAGAGTGAGACCCTATCTCTACTAAAAATAGAAAGAAAGTAGCTGGACAATTAAAAATACATAGAAAAAAAAATTAGCCGGGCATGGTGGGGCATGTGTGTAGTCCCAGCTACTCAGGAGGCTTAGGCAGGAGGATTGCTTGAGCCCAGGAGTTGGAGGTTGCTGTGAGCTAGGCTGACGCTATGGCACTCTAGCCCAGACAGCAGAGTGAGACTGTCTAAAAAAAAAGAATATATTTGATTAAATGAAGAGTCATACTACTCTCTTGCCTGAAAAACTAAATATTAAGAAAGTGTCAGTCCTGTGGTAACTTATTCTATAATTTCAGTGCAATTCAAATCTTTCTTGGGCTGGGGGGGGTGGCGGTGGCAAGTGATAGTTCTTGACAAATGATTCAAAAGGTAATCTAGAAAATAGTAACAATTTTTAAAATAAAAATTATATAAACACAATTGGCTTTTATCTAGTATATCCTACATGGTCAAATGTTTGTATGAATGAATATGATGGAAAAAAATTGAAAACTGGAAATCCCCTATAATCCCATCTGATTAGGTGTCTATGTACATTTATATGTGTATATGATATTCTTCCAACACAAATGGGTCATCAAAGCAACATAAAACATTGATTTAATCATTAGTTTTTTCTGTTGAGAAAATATCCACTGCTTCGCCACCATTCACCGTTCAGAGTTTAAATTTCCTCCTGGTATTCAGTGCATCTTCACAGCCTGCTTCCATCTTAACTATTCACATTTGCTGTCTCTCCATGCTCCCTGCCAAAACATGCCTTGTTTACCCCCCACTCCATGCTCATCTAAACTGAAAGTCTTCCCTCGACTCACTCTTCAAAGCCAGCTCCCAGCCTTTTCTTCCACCTGCTGGTTACTGTGTGTTTAAGCACTTGTTGCTTTGCACTACTAAATGCTATGTGTGTGTTCAGATTGTTTTTCCAGCTCTGTGGTAAAACTCCCAGTGGTGGGAACCACTTTTTTGTTGTTGTTGTTTGTTTGTTTTTTTTTTTAGTTTTTTGGCATTCTCCTCAGAAGCTTGCACAATGCTGTACCTGGGGTGGATTCGTAGGGAATCTGTGTTGAATGGATTTGTCATTGGATGTTCATTTCTCAGGACAGAAAGGGCTCCTAGAGGCTGTGTTGCCCAACCCTGTCTCATGTTGGATTCCATACCATGACATCCCAGACAGATGGTCATCCAGAGTCAGAAAGCTGCCACCTCCTGGGAAGGCTCACTTCATTCCTGGGCAGTTCTAGCTGTTTTAAAAAAAAATCCTTCGTGTGTAGACCTGAAATCCTCCTTCTGGTAACTTCTGCCCAATCACTATAATATTGCCCTCTGGGGCTTTAGAGACAAGAAAAAAAAAAGCCTGATTACTCTTCCACAAGGCAACCTTTTAGTATTTCAAAGGTTGTCAATCTTTTTGTTTCCCTGTCTTATTGAGATGGGTTTCAAGGTTGAGACATCAGGGAAGCACTACTTTAATTTTGAGTAGCAGTGAGGTTAGACCTTGATTCATTATTTTTTGTGCGTACATGTGTGCATGTGGCAGTGCTAGCTGCCGTATTCTTCTGGTCCAGTCAGAGGTAACCCTTTCTCTCTCTCTTTCCTGATCCCCTGTCTTCTGGGGGAAGATGGGGCTCATCCTGCCATGGATGATCTGTTTTGGAGGGAGGGAGAAGAAGTTAGCAATTCTTATTTCAGTACCCTGAGAACCCGAGATAACTCCCCTGGGTAAGTGTGGTTTTCATTTGGCTGAAGTACCTAGATGAAACTAGTGAGATAAAACAGGGAATAAAAGGGCCTCCCATGGATGGAGCTGCCCAGTGCCATGGCCTGTGCATTCTAGCATTTTGTGAACAGAGAACTTTATTCTCACTTTTTTTTCTCCCTCTCTTCCTTCCTCATCTCCCCACTCAGAACACTTTCTACTGTCCTTTCATCCCATGGGGCATTATGGTGTAACAAAGAGAACCACACAGGCCTTAGTTTAAATCCCGACGCTGCCACGTAGAAGCTCTGAGACCTGGGCAAAGTACTTGAGTTCTCTGAGCTGCTGTTTTCCCAACTCCAAAATAACCACCTCTCCATCATAGAAAGAGGTGAGAAAACGCCTGTAAGGCTCCGGGTGCGGGCCTTATGTGGCAGAAGGCGCAGACACTAGCTTCCTGCTCCCCTTTCTCCTCTCCCCAACCTTCTTTCACTTCCATTTTTTGAGAGATTTAAAGGCAAAACACTGTGTAGTTTTCCTGGGGAAAATAAGGTGAATGTGAGTATAGTAGCCCAAGCTAGTCTTGGGTGGGTATTTGGGAACAAATGGTCAGTTTCCTGTGAGCTCCTGGTGAGATCAAAGATGTTAAAAGAATTCTCAAGTAGAGGAGGCTGAGAAGGCTGTAAATGGCAATAAGTGACCACTGCAGCTACTGTTGACTCCCCACACGCATTTCAGGGCTATTTATTACTGCTGCCTGCACCAACGGGCAGCAAAGCCTGCTCCCCAAAGCCTGCTGCTGGCAGGTCCGACTTCATGCAGTCTTTGCCCTTCAACTGAAATGCTTTCCTTATTGACCTATCTTGATCCCTAAAATGTTAAGCTGTCTCTTTTGGGGTGTGTTTCCCCCACATGCCATCTGCCTTTGCCACTCCCTGCTTTCTTCTAGCAATACAGTCTCAGTTAACCACAGGTAGCATCCGAGAAAAAATTATTTCTGGGCTCAGAACTCTCTAGTAGTCACAGTCACACGCTGTTTATAGGCCAAGAAATCTCCTGCACATAAACTTGAATTGCGTGAGTCATGTTTTATAGTAGTTGGTCAGAGTTAAGAACCAAGAAAATAACTGCTTAGGCCTGTCACCCTCCCAGTGAAAGGAGGAGAAGATGAGTTGTGGGGTTGGGGGGCCCACAGGGGAGCCTATCCCTTTCTTTTCGGTAGATGTGTCAGCACTTTCTTGTACTGGGGGCTGGGGATACCCAGACAGGATTCCTACAGACTGGGGACATAGGGGCACAAGTAGCCAGAATGTGAGGTGACAGCCCAGAGCAGAAAGGCGCTGACTCTGTGGGCTGTGCAGAGGCAGGAGGCTCATGGAGAAGGTGCCTCAGCTGGTCTAGGAAGGGCAGGCAGGGCTCAGGAATTACTGTCACCGCAGCCAGAAAATCCTGGGAGGCGGGGTCAAAGTTTAACAGCCTCAAGACAAAGAAATCAAAGCATATCGGACATTCTCCATCAGCCCCAGCTGAATATTTTAAGTGGACGATTTTGCCTTGGAATTGGACAAAAGGCACCCCCACTCTGGGCAACTATTTTTCCCACGTTTCTTTCAAGAGAGTAACTGACAGTTCCTATCTGTCTCCCTGTCTTCTGTGGTCACTGAGCTGAAAGCATTTCAAGCCAAGTGAGTCACAGTGAGTGGGCTGTGGCTAGTGCAAGGTGTCACCATCCTGCTGCTGAATTCCCATGCAGTTTGGGCGGAGCTGGAGGAGCTAAAGACCCCAGCCCCCAGCCTGCTAAGACTTTCTGCTCTGTTCCTGGAGCTGAGCTCTCGCACTGGGGTGTTTATTTTCACACATAGTCACATAGTGGTCACACTGGCATGCTTGTTTTCACACTCCTCTTCTGCTGCTGCTGCGGACAGCCCTGTCTGAGATTCTGGGTTGTGGATTCTGTCCTCTCTACCCAACTGAGTGTTAAATAGTTTGAGCATTCAGAGTGTCTGGAAGTTACTGTAATTAGCAAAAAAGGGTGTTTTCATCTCTCTTGGTGACTGGCAGAGAAAGAATCCTCCTGTGAACAAGAGATCAGCTTCAGAGCTCTGGCCATCGAGCTGCTGCAGTAAACAGCTGACATAACAGAAGCGGCAGCGATCCCCTATTAAATGTCTGTCAGCCGATAGGGGCTCCCGGGATAATTGACTTTCCAGCAGGAATTACTGGCTCAAACAAAATCACTGAGCATTAGGGCAACCTACTGAATCCTTTGAAAGGGGGAATGTAACTCTGTCTGGTTTTGCTGACCTGACAGGCATAATTCATCTTGATTATTCATTGTGCTAGTTGCCACCAGATGACACCAGATTTCTGGTGACTGTAATTACAATGTGGGATGAGTTTTAGCTTTTTTTTCTTAAAACAAACAAACAAACAAAAGCAACGTTCTTCCTGCTTGGTTACTGGCTTCCCTGAGCTGAAGGTACCATAGGAAGATTTCTAACATTGTCTGCCTCGGGAGATGATGGTGCACACAGTCGGATAGCATTGACTGAGCACTTCCTTACTACATGTGTTTGACCAGATAAGCAGGGAAAGGACTTAGTATAGGCTGTTTCATTTCAGCTGATAGGGTGTCACTTCTTGTTGATATACTTAACCTCAGTAAGTGCTGAATTTCTGCTATCAGAGAGTGGATCTGTATGTCAGAGCCCACTTTGAATAGAATAAGCAAAGTATGGGCCCAAAATATCTATGCACGATGTCTCACACCTGTAACCCTGGCACTCTGGGGAGCCGAGGCAGGAGGATCACTCAAGGTCAGGAGTGCAAACCAACCTGAGCAAGAACAAGACCCCGTCTCTACTAAAAATAGAAAGAAATTAATTGGCCAACTAAAAATATATAGAAAAAATTAGTCGGGCATGGTGGTGCATGCCTGTAGTCCCAGCTACTTGGGACGCTGAGGCAGAAAGATCCCTTGAGCCCAGGAATTTGAGGTTGCTGTGAGCTAGGCTGACACCATGGCACTCTAGCCCAGGCAACAGAGTGAGACTCTATCTCAAAAAAATAAATAATAATAATAAAATTATATATATATATATATATACACACACACCCAAATAATGCCTCCTGCTTTACTACAGGAGAAGTGTGGGAGAGAAAGGAATTCAACTAGGCTTTCATCTTATAGGCATGGTTTTAGAATGAGATATCCGGCCGGGCGTGGTGGCTTACGCCTATAATTCTGCCACTCTGGGAGTCTGAGGTGGGAGAATTGCTCAAGGTTACTAGTTTGAGACCAGCCTGAGCAAGAGTGAGACTCCATCTCTACTGAAAAAATAAACAGAGATTAGCCGGACAACTAAAAATATATATAGAAAAAATTAGCTGGGCATAGTGGTGCATGCCTATAGTCCCAGCTACTTGGGAGGCTGAGGCAGAAGGATTGCTTGAGCCCAGAAGTTTGAGGTTGCTGTGAGCTAGGCTGACACCACGACACTCTAGACCAGGCAACAGAGTGAGACTCTGTCTAAAAAAAAAAAAAAAGAATGAGATATCCATGCAGTCCAACGAATTTTGTGCCAAGAAACCTCTGCCTCCTTGCCCCAAATGCCCTTTCCCCACCACGCACACACACCCCTCAGCCAGCTGGGTCACATGTGCGTGCCCTTGTGTGCACGTGCCTGTGGTCCTGGGGGAGAAATGAGAGTTACAGGCTCAGTGTGTCTGGTCCCATACACTGGGTCCTCCACTGACCAGTGGGTTGTGGATGAATACCATGAGATTTCATACTCCCCAAGAGCATGTAGGCTTTTGGGTATATGTGTGTGTTTATTTTTTGAAGAGGTGCTTAATTGGTGTGCCAGGCTATCGGCTCTGTTGGGGACAAAGACACCTTTGCTGTTAAGGAGCTTACCATATTTAGTGGGTGATAGATACTTCCAAAGTAATATGTTAAATTCTAAGCTAGAAATGGGCAGAGATTGCTTCTAGAGTACTTAGTGCAGCTGCGAGTGAAGGGAAGGCTTCCCACGGAAGATGCTGGTTTGAGGAATAAGAGTTGCCTGACTGACTAAAGGTAGGAAGCCAGCTTAAGGAATATAAACAAAGTCCTGTGTGCCATTTCCTCTTACTCAGTTGAATGGTGTTGGTTTAACCTAACCTTAAATTAGGGTTAGGCTTTTGTAATTTCTCTATTGAAAATAAACTATTGCCCTAGTGGCACAGAGTCTGTACCTTGGGGGCGATCTCAGGCTATAGTGGCCCTCAGGGGTTACTAAGGACTTCTTACCACTAGGCTTAGAACTTCTAATGGCAAGGCTTGGCTGAGAGACTACAACTCTCCTTTGGCCCTTTCCCCCCACTCACAGTTTCATGTCGGAAACCAGGTGAGGTATCTTTACCACTTGCAGAAAAGTGGTACATCTCAATGATGGCTTCTGGAAGATCAGCTGGGAATGAGCAGGTTCTCAGCAACCTGGGCCTTTGTGTCCTCCTCTTCCAGGATCATTAAGTAAAAATGACACCCGTCTTTGTCCAGCAAGGTGAAATCTTCCATCTGACTCCCTCTTATTCTAGAACCATACTCAAAAGTGAAAAAAAAGGTGTCCCTGTAAGGGTGGCAGAGGTGGTCACCTGAGCAGCCTTTTATAGTGTGAGCCAGGATAGCACCATTGCTAAGAGTCTTCATCTTCCCCCTAGATAATTGCGCTGCCTTCTACTACTCGTTCTCCTCCTGTTCACCTGTCAACTTTGTGTTTTGTTCCCTTCTAGAATGGTGGTCTGGCCTGGAGTGATGATGCAGATGGAGGCCGGGGAAGAGAGATCTCTCGAGATTTTGCCAAGGTCTGTAGTATTTCCTTTGTTATAAAGATAGGGGTAGTTCTGCAGTGAGTAGTTGTGTCTGATTCATAAAGAATAAGAACAGGAGTGGCCATTGAGTCACATTTGTAGATATTTAGATGGTTGTAGTAGATCTGATATAAGACTTCCTGCAGCAAGATGGAATTTTTCATTGTGTTTTTCCTTGGGGGATCGGGATTGCAGCTGTATGAACTGGACGGTGATCCTGAAAGGAAAGAGTTCCTGGATGACCTCTTCGTCTTTATGCAAAAGAGGGGTGAGTGTGCTGTCTACTCATCATTTCAGTTCAGTGAATATTTATTGAGTGCCTACTGTGTGCTAGTCACTGCTAGCCGTCCTTAGACAAGAGACATTTACTGTTGATTGGTTCTAGATTTAGTCAAATAATTTACAGCCAGATAGAAGAGGGCAGAGAGGGCCTTGGCAAAAAATGGATGGAACAGTCATCTGCTTTTGGCCCTGCCTTATCTCTGTCTCTTCTTCTAATTAACTGGTCTCTGGAGTCATTTCAAATTCAAATATACTTTTATTTTAGCCTTATAGCTGCCTAGGCTTCACTTATACTAGCTTGTGGGGCTTCTTGTTGCTATATCTAGTCTTATAAAGACTGAGAAAGGTAAGTGAAAGAATAGAGGCCACTCAGTTTTGGGGAGGGTCTGAAATGATCCGTGGAAGCAAAGGCCAACTCTTTTTTTTATCTGTTGGCTTTTGCTTTTTGCATTCACTGGCTTGGTTGGAACATTCCTGCAGTTTAATTTTAGGGTACAATGGCATCTGCTTTATAATGCACCCTCCCAATTCTCTGTCCTCCTCTCCACCCCCGCCACCCCCAGTAGCCATCTCCACTGGGGACCATGGTGTGACTGAGTCTTGAGCCCAGTGACTCAGCTTCCTGGCTTTATATCCCATCATAACAATGGGTTCCCCAGTTGGGGCAGCTCTCGGGAAGCATGGCCAGAATCCCAGTCTCTCTAGGAGAAGGTAACCTGTGTGGCTCCCCCTACATGACCCTCAGGACAAAGCCATAGGAGAGAGATGTTCCCACCAAACTCTTCCCCAGGATCCTGCTTATATCTGATTATGTACCCTTGGTGTCTGTGTCAACAACTTTATTGAAACCTGGCCATGAAACCCTCCTCTTCACCCTCCATGGAGGTGTAATGGCAGCCCCCAGCAGTTACATATTCTGGGCTAGCTTCTCTCCCTCTCTCACCCATCCCCCCCCCATCCTCCCCTCCTTCTCTCCCTCCCTCTATCTCCTTCCGCTTCCTTTACCTTCCAAAACCTTATTGCCTTTTTGGTGGCATACCTATTACTGCTGGTTTGCATAAAAAGGTAATTGAAAGTTTTGGGTCTTGGTCCCCCCAATCTCCAAGCCTATCAAAGCAGTCTAAGCAGCCTTAATTAGTTTACTCCTCCAACTGTTATCTGGAGCTGCATGTGTCAGTAAAAACAAGAATATAATCCTGAAAGATAGTGTGAGTGGCAGCAGTGAAACTCCCTGGTTGCTCTCTGAGAGAGAAATCCATTTAATACTTCGGTCTCCCCTTCCAATTACCTTTTAATTATTTACGAGCTCTGCAAGCCCAGCTGGTACAAACCCAGGAGCTGATCCTGTCTCAAAAGGGCTGCCATAGCAATATAGATTTTAATCCGTAATGTAGCTCCACTGCTTTATTTTCTACTTTATTGTTTTTCTCCCCTCCCAGAAGGACTATTTTTTTTTGTTTTTGTTTTTTCCTTTCAGTGTAATATTTTAAAACAACCCAGAAGGATTTTTAAAGGAAAATGGAAGTCAGATCAGCTGAGAGTGGGGGTCAGCAATTGTCTACTACTGCATGTCCTCACTAGACGAGGAGCTTCTCGAGAACAGCCACTTTTCATTCCTCCGCGTCCCCCATGCTGGCACAGGCCACATGCAAGGTGCTCAGGGCGCATTGCTGTGCGAGTAGTCTTGTTGGTTCTCTTGGCTCAGCTTGCCACATGCAGGGTAGCTCAGCTGCCCTGGAATTGAGGGTTGGAAGCAGAGAACAGGCTCTGCTGCATATCCCGCTATTCTGCAGCAGCGGGGACTGCACAGGAGCAGAGTGCTATCTAGTATATATTTCTGAGTAAACCCAGAGCAGGAATAAGTGATAATTTCGGCTTTGATAATGTCAGCTTACCATTATTTGGGTCCTGAGTAAGTCTTTGTCCTGTCTTCAGCACTTATGTCAGGTATTTCACTATTTGCTGACATTACCAATAGAAAGGAGACTGTTCAGTCTGCTACTTGTTAGTTACTCTAATATGAGGTTTCTCAGCCTTAGAACTGTTGACTTTTGGGATAACATAGTCCTTTGTTGTGAGGACTGTCCTGTGTAGAATGTTTAGTAGTATCTGTGGCCTTACCCACTAGATGCCAATAGCAAGCCCCAGTCATGACAACCAAAAATATCTCTAGACATTGTAAATATCTCCTAGGGAACAAATTTGTGCACTGTTGAGACTCCCTGCCATAGAAGGGTGGGAAAGAAAGTAAAGATCTAAAGTTTCCTCTGCAGAAGAAAACTCTTTATGGACGTTATCTTACCTCCAGTCAGGTACCTGGGAGTGGGGCTGTGTCAAGTGGTATTATGAGCTTCCCTCCTGTGAGTGTCAAAAGAGTGGGTGTTGGAACCCCATCCGGGGCTGGATTGCAGAGAAGGACTCTGGGAGGACCCATGGCTCCAGTGTATCGGAGGCAACCCCATAGAGGGAGGCAGAAGCGCTGGGGCACCTGTGGCCATGGCACAGTTGGAGGAACTCTTGTCTGTGGCCTGGAATCAGAGACTCTCCTGGATTGGTCAGCTGGCACCAGAATCTGAAGAGCTGTGTTTGGCCAAGAAGTTGGCACTTCAGTCCATAGAATAGCCAGGTTATTGAAGGTAAACAGGGGCTTTCAGGAAACTTGCTGTGGTCTTGTTGGGCTCCAGAGGGGAAATGGAGGCAGGAAAGTAGTGTGGAGGTTGTTCCCTTTAAATTCACGGTGATCTCCTTCCTGGAAAACCCTTGTCTGGTAGTCTAAATTAGAGCTGTTGGTTGAGGAGGGCTGGAAGCAGATTGTACTTTTAATCATGTGAAGCTTACTGTCTTTGCTCTTCACACAATAGTGAGACCAAGGCCCTCTGGACATTTGTGACTTATTTGTCACTCCCTAAGTAGTGTCTGGGGCACTCGAAAAAACAGGTCTTATTAACTGGGACCAAGGAAGAGCCTCATAGACCTCAGCAGCAGGTCAGCAGCTCAGCCTCCAGGGCTCATGTGAAGGATAAGCAGTGGATTTCACAGGAGCCACTGCAAACAGCCTGAGTTTGAAAGGCCTGGTAACAACCAGCTGGGCTGGGAGTGGGGCTGGGCTGCTCTGACACAGCAGGCAGCACCCGCAGAGGAAGCAGACGGAGCTCCAAGGGAGGCAACACACAGCAGGCTCCCCCAAATGACTGCAGCTGCAAGTGGTAAAATAGCTGTCCAGTAGAAGGGGACCGGCTATAACTGCTGCTTTGTGCTATGTCTCTCGCTTGTTAACATGTTTAGGTGAATTGACTGCAACAGATGGGCCTTTTAGCCCTCAGCACCTTGGTTTCTAGGCTAGATCAGGGTGACTTGCACCATGGTAGCCGCCTTGCCGACTAGCAGAGCAGCCTGCCAGTAGAGGAGCCTGAGCAGAGTGGAGTAGGCTGAGACGGTGCCCCTCAGGCTCACTGTCTTCCCCCAGTCTCAGGACACAGCACTGCTGCAGCCATGTTTAAAGGCCTGCGGAGGTGAAAAGAGCTCCAGACCCACGAGTGCAAAGCTGCGGCTGGCACTCTTCTCTGCCCCGTGATCTTGAGCCAGTCTTTTCTCGCTGGTGGTCACAGTTTCCTTATCTACAAAATCAAGGAGTTCATTTAGAATTAACTTGAACGTTTCTGTTTGTTCTTACATATTCATGATTATGTCTGTTGAGTTACTCTTTTTTTTTTTTGAGACAGAGTCTCACTTTGTTGCCCAGGCTAGAGTGAGTGCCGTGGCATCAGCCTAGCTCACAGCAACCTCAAACTCCTGGCTCAAGCAATCCTCCTGCCTCAGCCTCCCAAGTAGCTGGGACTACAGGCATGCACCACCATGCCTGGCTAATTTTTTCTATATGTATTAGTTGGCCAATTAATTTCTTTCTACTTATAGTAGAGATGGGGTCTCACTCTTGCTCAGGCTGGTCTCGAACTCCTGAGCTCAAATGATCCGCCCACCTCGGCCTCCCAGAGAGCTTGGATTACAGGCTTGTTGAGTTACTCTTGATGAATAAAAAACAAAAGAAGAAAAGCCCCTTTAGCAATTTTCTGTCAAAATAATTGTGTGAAAACAACACCAGGAATCTCCAAGACCAAAGAGGTAAAGACTTCTTTCCTTACTGAGTAATGTGTTTCTTCTTTTGCTTACTGAAGCCAAATTGAATTAAACACATTACCCTTAATTCTATTTTTCCCCAGACTATTTCTCTAGAACACACGGGTTAGATTTCAGACTCTGATGTCCCTTTTTGCTTACCTTTTGCTGTGTTTGCATGTGTATATATGCAAAAATACACACTTTTTTTACTTAAATGGCTTAATAAAGCCAAACAGTTCTAAATAAAATTGTCTAGCTAATTTAACTCACTGTGGGTGGTTTCTGAGATATCATACCCTCATAGATTTTCCATTTAGTGTTCCAGTGCCCAAGGGAAAGTACTAATTTATGAGTATAATAAGCAAAGGCTATGTAAAAACAATGCTATTTTTTCTTCAGTGTGAAAGAAAGGTTTGTTCCCTTACTCCCTAGGAGGTGAAGCAGGATTGTGGTCTTACAAAAAGTCAGGATGATGATGATGGTGATTTTACTATTATTTTTATTATCCATACACTTTACAAAACTCTTTCATCTCATTATCTGATCTGCTGCTCCCCACAGCTCCAGCTCTGTGGGGTAGAGCGAGCAAAGGTTATCACTTGTAGCCATAAAGAGTCAGCCCCGAGGTTAAGTGACTTACCTAAAGTCATAGAGCAGACTCAGCACTGGTCTCCTAACTCCCAGGCCAGTGTGTACCCTTCTGTACTGCCTCTGAGAAACTTGTTCCCTAGCACTAGCACCCTTCTCTCCTTCTTGGGGCAGCAGGCAAGCCTGGTCTGTCCTGCAGCTTCCGGGGCCCCACAGAGAGTGCCGGCCTGCTATTCAATAGAAGGTCTGACAGCACCTAGCTGGTCATCATGCAAGAAGGGTCTTCATGCCAGGGAAGGGCAGATGTGACAACTCACAGTGGCACAGAGGCCTGCTCTGTGAGGCAGAATGCGATAGGGGTGGGGAGCACAAGAGAATGCCCACAAGCAAGGCTTTCCTTTCCTGCCCCAGCCCCATCTGGACACACCAGGCTAAGGACTGCTTGGGCTTGTGGAAGACAAGTTTTGTCAAGACCTCACTTGTAGAGCTGCCCTCCCGCCCCCACCACTTCTGTTCAAGGCTGCAAACTGACCTTGGTTTTCCTGAATGGATTATTGGATCTGTTTTTTATGTGTATATACAAAGAATTGACTGTGGGAAAAGGGCTTGGTCTGCCTCAAAGTGCAATTTGAGTGTTTTTCCTTCTGTTGTGTGCTTATCTATCCATCTCGGGCAAGGAAATGTTCATGACATATATTGCCTTGCCTTTTAGTGGAGGCAGTTTCTTGTATATTCTTTGTATCTTGCGATAAATGGTCTGTACCCTGGACACCCTTCCGAATAGACTAAAATATATTGTCTTTGTCAGATGAAATAGGCTTTGGGGCTTCATTTTCTAACTTTATCCCCAAATGAAAGTCTAAAATGCAAATCTTTAAGTTTTAGGATTAGCTCTTTGTCTGAGGCTAGATATTTTTCTCCTAGTTATCCAGCTGCCATTCATAAATGTACTGTTTTTGTTTGCCCCACTTTTTTTTTTTTTTTTTTGAGACAGAGTCTTGCTTTGTTGCCCAGGCTAGAGTGAGTGCCGTGGCGTCAGCCTAGCTCACAGCAACCTCAAACTCCTGGGCTCAAGCAATCCTTCTGCCTCAGCCTCCCGGGTAGCTGGGACTACAGGCATGTGCCACCATGCCCGGCTAATTTTTTATATATATATCAGTTGGCCAATTAATTTCTTTCTATTTATAGTAGAGACGGGGTCTCGCTCTTGCTCAGGCTGGTTTTGAACTCCTGACCTTGAGCAATCCGCCCGCCTTGGCCTCCCAAGAGCTAGGATTACAGGTGTGAGCCACAGCGCCCGGCCTGTTTGCCCCACTTTTATTTTATTTTTTTTTTTTTGTACAAATTGAAATGTCTGTAATGCCCCACTTTTAACAGGCATTTGATATCCTATAAAAACCCAGTTTTCCATGAAAATAGGAAGGGACTTGGTTTTTGAAAGGCACAATTAATTTGAATAGCCCACTTTTGTCATTAAAGTCAGCCTCTTCCCCTTCAAAATCTTTTATTGATACTTCTAGCACATGGTAAAATTGAATTATTTGATAGTTTTGCCTCTTTTGCTCCTAGGTAAGCCAATCTTTAGTAAATCATCGAGGGCTGGTATAGAGAAATGTTAAAATGAGGGTTTGGCCCACTCACACTGTGGGGAAGCTCTGCTGATCTTGAAAGCCTAGTGGCACGGGCAGCAGCGGAAGTCAAGACAGCTGTGCACTGCCCAGGCCAGAAAGCCCTTGAGGTATGCCCCCGCCTGGCCATGTCCGAGATCCAGCAGCAGGCTAAGCAGAGAACCCCACAGTCCACCTGCCCTGACTCCTTGGCTAGCTTCTCTGAATGCAGCTGTTACGGAAAGAGGTGGCACAGGCATAGCACTAATTTCACTATTAGCCATAACAGAATACAGTATCACACGTATTGCTGAACTTCACCTAAAGAGATTAGTGCAGGCTGGAGTATCAAAAAAGGTAATGAATTTAAAATTAGCCTCCCAGATTTAAATTAATTTAAAATTAGCCTCCCAGAGCAACCAGAGCTCCCATGCCTTGCGGTTGGGAGTGTAAATGGGTGTAACCATTTTGGAAATCTGTTTGGTATTATTCACTAAAGCTAAACATATGCTTGTCCCTGTTACCCAGCAGTCCACTCCTGGATGTATACCCACCAGAAATGAGTACTTATGTTCACTTAAAGACACCTGCAAGAATACTCATAGCAGCACCATTTTTATACCCCAAACTGAAAAAAATGCAAGCATCCTGGCATAGTCACATAGTGGAATACTGCACAACAGTAAAAAATAATTAACTACGGCCATACACAACTGGAATAACTCATCAGCCTAATGTTGTAGAGGCCCGACACAAAAGAATATATATTAATACTATATGATTACATTTATATATAAAATCCAAGAAAATGTGTGTCAGGATAATGGTTACCTCCAGGATGGATAGGGATGGAGGCATGGATATTGACTGGGAAAGGGGCATGAGAAAGTTTTCCAGGGTGCTGAAAATGTTATGTATGTTGATCTGAGGGCTGGTTACTTGAGTGGATATGGAAGTACAAATCCAGTGAGCTATATACTTAAGATTAATGCATTATATGTAAGGTAGACCCACTCAGTGGGCACTTGGAGTTAGAGGGCTCAAGGTCAGTCCAGTATAGGATATTGGCACGTCCTTGCCTCTGTCCTGTCTAGTGGAACAGTCCAACTACAAACTACACTGCAGACTGCCAGACACTGCTGTCAGTTTTTCAGAGGGAGATATTTTCTACATAAACAAGTCAGGGAAAATAATCACCAGTCATTTCTCTGCTTGTTTCTAGGGAGCAAGAATTAATATGCAGAGTAGTGGTCAGGAGGCCTGCCTGCCTGTACATGTTCCCTGCTTAACATGGATCTTACCTCTTCTAGGCTCATTGGTCCGCTTTCTTGACAGTGAGGCTATAGAAATGATTAATGATCTTTTTCAAAGCCCAGAAAAACCAGCAAGGGTCCCTGTCAGGGCCACGCCCTGGGTCCTGGGTCCTCATCCCTGGCCAGTAGGCAGGAAGGCAGCCTTGTGAGTCTGTCTGGAGTCCTTCCTCTGACTGCTTCTGGTCTTCACTAGAACATGTCCACTCTTTGCTATCTCCCATCTTTGTCTCCAGAGCCACAGAAGGCTCTCTCTTCTCCTTCTGCCCTCATACCTACCCCCAGCTACATCTCTGTTTTCTGAGTGGTTGGAAAGAAAGCAAAATGCCAGGGAGCAGCTTTTGTTTGGCTGCATCTGCCCTGAAAGCTCCTGGTTGCAGCTTTGGCTGCTAGTGTCAGGCCCAGCAGAATTTCCACCAACAAGGGCTGAAGCCCCAGAAGTCCTGCCAGCCTCACTGGGCCTGTGGCCCTCATAAAAGCCTTTTACATCCATCCCTGGGGCTGCCTCGGGCTCCCTGGCTGAAATCTGATAAGGGCCCTCTTTGTTACAACTGTCAATCTCTTTTATTGAGGAGGGAACTGGAGACCAGCGGCACTTCTTGGGGTACAGATAAGGCCTTGGGTTCCTGTCAGAGAGAGCATGATTAATTACCCTCAATCCCAGCTCCTGCTTTGATAGCAGTGACTGACAGTCCACAGGCTTCCCCATCGAGTGCTCTCCCGCCTCTGAGAGGCATGATGGGAGCAGAGATTCAGCCTCCTGCAGGGCCAACACCAGTGACCCACAGAGAACTCTCTTCAGTAGGTGTTTGCCTCCTTCCTGGCACTCTGCAGGTTGCTTTTACATTTCTTGTGAACAGAGGCCTGTCTCTCTCAGGTGAAGAGCCTCCTTAGAGGAAGGTATAATACAGCCCAAAGACCCCCTGCTCCCTTCCCTGAAAGGCTGTGGAAGGAGTCATTGTTTGAGGCAGGCGAGAATTCCACTGGACCACC